GCAGCAGCAGCAAAAACTGGTGCATATATGGTTATTTTAACATGCAACGTGCTACACACACGCACACAGCAAGGACAACTGAAAGCGGTCAGTGATGAGCGAGAGACGGTGAGTGCCGTCGTTCGAAGCGCTGTGCAACCCACACATTTTGTTTTCCTTTGATTTTTTGTCTTATGTAATATGCATGTGTACACACACACACACACATACAGCCAAGTGAGACGTGCGCCTAGCTTTATGCCAGGGAAATCGGTCAGCCAGCGCAAAGTGGGGCATTCGGCGACTACGCGCTTAGCATTCTACAGCAATCGGAGACATAAGAAAAGTTGAAAAAAAGTAATAATAAAAATAAAATAAAGCAAAAACTAAAAACAGCTCAGCTCGTGGTCAGCAAGGCGCATATTACGTGCCGCACGACACTCGCCGGTCAGTCAGGATTTACTGATTGCCTCAGTGGCCGGCTCGCTGTGGGGTGCATATTGTCGTTAGCAAGCGCACTTTTCACCTTCATCGCCATCACTGCGACGCACTGCAACCACATTTAGCGCTGTGGCACTCTGCTGCAATTGCTGCATGTAATAAAATACAGCTGTGCGCACATATGTGAGTACTTAATATGTTTAGCTTGCGATTTGTATCCCCCTTTTGCTGGCTGTTTTACATTTGACCATTCTTCTGTTCACTTTTTAGTTACATATTCCTTATTCTGATAGTAGTTTTTTTCATGCTGGATTGCAAGCGCTGTGGTTCGCTGTTAGTATTGCAATTCTTAGCTGTCAACTTGTTAATAGGTTGAGCAGTTGGCGAAATCGCATAAAAAGATGCTTGAGTTTGCTGGGAATTGCAAATTAGCAAATGTGGTGATTACTCGTAGAATCTAGAAACAAATTTATTAAATCATTTATACTTGTAAATATTCGCTGACTATTAGGGTTGTAATTTTTTTGGATTTTAATTTTTTTTTTTTTTTGTTATAATGGTGTCATGTCACATAAATATTTTATTTTTATTTTGTAGACCCGAAAATCTTGATTGAAAACAATTTACAAATTTCTAATCCCAAATTCCGGTTTGATAAAAAAATGTTAATAATAAGAATCACAAGCATACTGGCTAAAACCAAATTGATAGAAATATTTTATTAATTTTAATATAATTATACCTTTAAACATTACACTTGTTATCTTTGTAAAAGAAAAGCTCATGTTTAATAAAATTTCAATATGTGCTGTTTACATTTTAATTATAGCTTTTTAGTTAGAAAAATGTTAATTTTTATCTCTTTTCTTTCCATTGATTTGAAAAACTATTTTTTTTATTTTTTAGTTCAATTTATAAACTTAAAAATATGTTATCAATTTTGTTTCGAATTAAAAATTTTTCTTCACTTTTTAATGCCGATTTTCAGATTAAAAAATTTTAATTTTTTTTGTAAGGAATACTAATATTATATTTGACCGAGCTTTTCATTATTTTTTATATAAATTAACTCGATTTTAAAGCCACCTGTGGAAAGTTAAGGGGTTTGATGAGAAGCTTTTTCATGCCAAAATGCACTAAAAGCTTTTATATGGCTTGCTAAGAAACATTATGTGTGAAGTCATTATCTTTTTTGAAGCTTCCAAGCTATATTTATTAAGAAAGAATTCTTGTAAAAAACAATAAAAAAAGTAGAAAAAAATATAGCAACTATGCTTGAGAACATACAGTTATTCAAACTATATACTCTGACTCGCGGTTGGTATATAAGACTTTCAAGTAAAAAATTAGCTGCATTTCTTCTATAAAATCGTTTCTACATTTCTATATACGAGTATCTTTGTTTTATATCAGTTGCATATTAACTAAGTTCTTATTTATCGTATCCTGAATAGGGTATATTAATTTCGCCTCGAAGTTTGTAATACCCAGAAGGACACCCTTTAAAGTATATGTATGTATAATGAACAGCGTGATGAACTGAGTCGATTAAGCCACGTCCGTCTGTCTCTGTATATACGTCAACTAATAGTCACTCAGTTTTTGAGAACACTCATTTGTCGAAACGTCCAATATCGGACCACTATATTATATAGCTGCCATACAAACTGAACGATCAAAATCAAGTGCTTGTATAGAAAACTTTTTCATTTGACAAAATTTCGTAACGAAATTTGGCATAGAATATTTTTTATAACAACGCTACAATATCTGTAGAAATTGTCTAGATCGGATCAATCTAGCATATAGCTGCCATACAAACTGAACGATCAAAATCAAGTGCTTGTATGGAAACTTCGTTATTTGTGAAGGCTGTACCAGCTTCGGTGCAACCGAAGTTTACATTCTTTCCTATTTTGATGTGAGTTTATTAGTCAATAATAGCACCAAATTCACCATAATATATTTATATATATATATTACACGCACACCGAAGCTCATTTACTCACTCAGCACCTTTAAAGCACGAAAATAAAGCTTTATGCTACAAAACGAAATAAAATGAACAGTAATGAAATAAAAATAAAATAACAATCAAACTAAATGCAACAATTGCAAATAAACGTAAACATTTGCGAAAACTAATAACAGCAACTGTAGCTGCACAGCTTTGGTGTTGCAACTACAAAAGCTTTCAATCGCCATGCGAGCAAGCGCTTTAAATGCAGTTGTTATTATTGTAATTGGTTTTAGCACTGCTTTGTTGCAACGCTGCTTGCCACTGACAGTGATGGAGTGTCGAGGCAGAGGTGCAGCAAACACACGCCACACACACACACACACAATTTACATTACAATACACATGAACGAGTGTGCATGCGTGTGTGTGTGTGTGTGAGTGCGCAATCCAACATTGTGCTGATTGCCATTGTACGGTTAAAACTTTTCACCACAGCAACTGATTTCCAACGACCAAAATAAGCAACAATTTCCAGTTTATTTTTATAGAAACTAAAAATAGCCACTAAAGTTTAGTTAAGCGCTTCGCAGTGATTCACAAACGTGTGTGGATAATCCAGTTGTTGAGAGTGAATAAAGGCAAATAATGGACTGAATTCTATTCGGGAGCAATTCCGACTGCCATTCATGTAATTGCTGATGGGCGGGTGTTGTTTTGTTGAAGCCTTTTCGTTTTTGTAAACAAAAAGATTTTTCGTTTATTTTGTTATCATCTTCGTTACTATACTGAATTTGTATGGCTCCTATTTGGATCAATTGGGTTCAGTCAAAGTAAGTTTGCTTCGTAGGAGTAATTGAAATACTGTGTTGAAATTATTCATATCTAGATATTTTAAAATCTCTACCGATTCTTTCTATATATATAGAAACTATGATATCTTTTACACACGAATCTAGCTTGAAGTAGCATTGTTCAGTTTTAAGATTTGCTCACCGGTAATTAATAAGACCACTTTTACACAGGAAGAATTTTGTTGCTCATTTTTGTTGTTAATTTTTGTTGCTCATTTTTGTTGCGAATTTTTGTTGCGAATTTTTGCATAAATTCGTTTTTGTTAGTATTGCCCACTACATTCACATGAGCGACACGAGACCGGCAACATAATTCGCACCACTTCCTGAACTCCCTTTCATATCACATTCTCAAATTCTTGTACGCTTCAAGTGTGCGGTGCGCAAAATATTTTCCATTAGCAAATTTTTGTTTTTCTTAAACATCATTTTCTAAAATAGTTTTATTATATTATGCATATTTAAAAACAATATGCAAAATATAGATTACAAAATTAGAATTTTCGAACATAATGTAAATATTCATTTAAAACCGATCGCAATTGCCACCTTGGAATATTTTTCAAAATGGAAAGGAATCAGCGACTCAGTCCATTTGTCTTTCCACCAGCAACAAAAATGATGGTGTGTGAACGCATTTCTAAGGCAATATTTGCAACCTCCTGAAAAGCTGAAAAAACGAACTGCTTCCATGACTTCCTTAATTGACGGTTCAACTATGCAATCAATAAGCCAATGAGATTTTGGAGAGGAGATGGAAACCGAATGGAACTCAATATTTGAGAGAGTATTAGCAACTGAAAACTGACAAGATATCTTACTCCTATACTAATATAAACAAAAAATGCTTTAATTTACATTAATCAGCTGGACCTTATATTAGATATTTCGAAATGTAAGCAGATAAGAGAACATTAGATTAGAAGGTAAAAAATTAAAATAAAAAAATTCAAACAAATAAATAAAATATTAAATACAAAATCAAACAAGCCTTCTGTTGCTGAAGCAACTGCTTGAAGCTACATAATGCCCGTGTGGCTAGGGAATTTGTTTTTCTTTTTCGGTGTGGTAAGCAGTTGGCCGAAATCGCATTTGAAAATTGCTGCTGTTGGCCAAAAATTCAGCAACAAACTTTTACTGCTTTACAATGTCGTTGTAATATCTTTTCATGCAACAATATAGCGCCTCTCCTTCGATATATGCCCAGACTTACCTACTACAACTCCACGCGCTCACGGCTGCTGCTCCATAGCTGAAGTTTTTCTAACGGAAGCGGAAATTTCCAGTTTGTGGTTAGTTTTTTAAGCTACAAGTTTTAGCAAATTTTTTCTCTCTTTTCCGTTCGGCAAAAGTTTTGAAATAACTTTTTTCATGTGTGTGTGTGTGTGTGTGTGGCGAGTGGCAGGCATAAGACGCATCCTAAACTGTATCCATCCTTTGCGTTACCGCAATTAGTATGTTAGTTTATTATCGTCCACAGATTGCGTTATTATTTTGTTGGTATTGCTGTTGTTGTTTTTTGTAGCCATAGAAACTTGAAACTTTTAAATTTGTAATGGCCACCACTGGTGCATAATTGCAGACGCCACTTTGCAATTCAATTTGGACACTCTTGTTATTATTGTTGTTGTTTTGTATTTGTATAATGACACTCTTGTTATTATTGTTGTTGTTTTGTATTTGTATAATGACAACACTAATTTGGCAACACTTCAAAAAATAATTTTCATAATTGCTCCATCACTCTTTGTCGCTCTTTCTCTTTACAGTGCATGAAGGCCTATGTGGACTTTGAAATTACCGAAGGCGCTTACGAGATCTCGTGTCCCGATGCCCAATGCCCGGCGCAAGGCATTATGACACTACCCGAAATCGCCAACTTGACGACAACCAATCTGATGAAGAAGCACCATCGATACCGACTCAATAAAGGTGACTTATTTGTTGTTATTGGCGGTCTTAACCTAAAAATTCCGCTGCCATATATAAAAAAGATTTTAAAAAAATATTAAATTCAACTCTGTTCTTTGCATCTTCTTTCGTTTAGAAATCGAAATGGATAAGACGCGCACCTGGTGTCCGCGCGCTGGCTGCGAAACGGTTTGCCTCGTTGGCGTGGGTCCCCATTCCGATGCCACACCATCCACCTCGACCGGTGGTGGCAGTGGTGGCGCGCACACAGCCACTTTCACTGACTGTCAAGGCGCACAACAGTCGCTCTGCGCCGTTCAGTGTCCGTCGTGCAAAGATGAGTTTTGCTCGGCCTGCAAGAAGGCGGTAAGTACTTGTGACACTCGCTTCAGCATCCAACTACTGTGCTTTCATTATTTTGTTATTTTTACCTTTTACATTTTGTTGCTTTTTCTGTTTTTTAGTGGCATCCGAACATGACTTGCGAGGAGAACAGTCGTCGCTTGGTGGCGGACGGTCAGGATGACATTGGCATACCCTTCGACAATGACCTCATCAAGTGTTGTCCCATGTGCGCTGTGCCCATCGAAAAGGACGAGGGTTGCGCGCAGATGATGTGCAAACGTTGCAAGCACGTCTTCTGCTGGTACTGTTTGGCCAGTTTGGATGTGAGTACATCCATAATAAAAGTTAAATATTTAAATAGTAGAGCACTTTTGCTAACATTTTCGAAATGACCCGAGTTGATAGTGAAAAAACCATTATTAGTTGATTTAATTTATGGGCTCTAAGTGTTCGTTTTTAGCCTAAATTGCGGTACTTAAGAATATAATGACCGGCATTTTTTTAAGTTTTCGCTTTTGATGATGAAAGTCAAGAAGCGGACCGACCAACATACTAATCTCCAATCGAATGAAAGGATGTCTCGACTCCTTATCTTTGGCATCGAGTTACTTCATGACTAGACTGGTTTGAGTGGAATCCATAGTGGAATTGATGGAAACTGCAATGCTGATGAGCTTGCTAGGTTAGATACTTCCGCAGAAGGTAACGGGTAGAAGCTTGACTGGTTACTTGCGGTGCTCTACTGGTCGAATGGGCCTCAGGCGAGCTTGGCTAGCGCCGGTTAGATACTGTGCGGTCGTAAGATCCTTCTGGCCTGAAGAAAATCGTAAGATCTATAGTGAGCTCCTCGTTTTCAGCGCAGTTCAACTTTCAGCAGGTATAAGAGTTCGAACTGGACACTACCCGATCGGAATTCATGTGGTACGATTGCAAATTATACCATATGTCAGTTGCATAAGCTGCTTGGAAGAAGATCATTTCAACACTTCTTTCTCAAATGTCCCGCCTTTGTCAGATCAAGCCTAAAATACCTCAGATCTAACACTTTTTGTTAACCAAGTGAAATAGCGGAAATAGAAATAAAGTAACTAAGCAGATTTGTGATAGATTCAAGGCGCTTTGTCGATAATTAATATTCAAATACCGCAATTTTTATCTGACTTCACAATGTACAGTACTTAGCAGTCTAAGTGTGATCCCCCGCCATCTTGAGGAATCAGCCACTTAACCTAGCCTAAGATAGATAGTGGGTTCTGATATATACTGCTTGGATCATGTCTGATTGATAGCCAATTTCTTAGGTCTAAAGTTACACATATGAAGTTTCTTCGACCATCTCCGTCATATTTTTACAAGTTCTGTGATTTTGTTATCGAATACTCCGATCTATTATTCGAAAATATATTATTAATATATTCGAAATTAAATTTTCTAATTCAAAACTTCAATTATGAAAATTCATTCGCTCAGAATTAAGTGTTTAGGTTCAGCGTAAAGCCTGAGGGATTTGATCCTCTATCCAGAAACAATATATATAGTGTGAAAATTGTTAAAATATAATAATTATATAATTATGCGCTAAATATGAAAGTATTAGGTTGGTTTTTGAAAAAAAATTAATTTAAAAAAATCTTTGAAAAAAGTGTTTGCCCTACTCTCGTTACCACGACTCTACATTTGACATTACACGTTCAACCTATATATAAATACTACTAAGCATTCACTCTTCCAATTTCTCTTCAAAAATATTTGTCTCTCTCTTCCCTCCTTACAGGACGACTTTCTGTTGCGTCACTATGATCGTGGTCCATGTAAAAACAAGCTCGGACATTCCCGTGCCTCTGTGGTGTGGCATAGAGCACAAGTAATTGGCATTTTTGCCGGTTTCGGTATATTGTTATTGGTCGCTTCACCACTGCTACTGCTGGCGGCACCCTGTATTATATGTTGTAAATGTCGTAGCTGTAGCGGTGCAAGAATCGATGAGGGAGATGCCGAGCTGGACGAGGCGACAGCGTTACAAAGGTAAGCAACTGACTACTGATATCTTTTGTTTTAGAATTTTATACAGTTATTATACTTTTTATTATGGTTTTATACCATATATATACTTGTAATATATAATATATTCTAATTCTAATAAATAATACATAATTTCATATTCTCTCGTATTTTCAGTCTTTAGAAGGCTTCGACGCATCGAAAACCCGAATTTGGACCAAAAATGTAAGACACCATCCAACTAACAGGCAATTCTGAAGTTCTATTCATAACATAACGGGAAATGTTTAAAGTAAAAAAGTCACTTGCGAACCACTTATTTGATGATTTTATATAATATGTATCACAATATTAATATCAGTACATATGTATCGATGTGTATGTATAGTTAGCTAAAAGTAAAAAACGAGTACACAGAATAAGCAAAAGCCTTAACCGACTTAACAAAGTTATTTGTTTAAAATTATAAATATGTTGCGAAGTGTAAAAATGCGAAATCCCAAAAAACGTAAAACAATATTTTTCACTTCCGATATGCAATAAACAACAACAAACACAAATATTAACTGCATGTTGAATGACGAGGGATTTGTGGAGGAATCAATACTGATTGGCTTTTTATTTTCATGCATTACATACAAGTAATTAACGAATTTTTACAAATATATGCACATGAGAAGACTTATTTGTTACACACATATTTTTTAAATATGTAAAAGGTATACTGGATTTTAAAGAAGTTTATACAAAATTTTATTTTTTACATGGATTTTTTTTATTGCTTTTTTTGGTTTACCATGAAATTTTAATAAATTTTTTTTTATGAATATTTTACTACTTCGTTTTTTTGCTAGGCATGCATTTTAGTTAAACCTTTTTTTAGTTGAAATAAATTTCGTACTAATTCGAAAAGTAATTGGAAATTTTAATTTAAAAAATTATTAAAACGAAAATATATAATATTTAATATGAAAATTATATCGCTTCCAAAAAATTTTTTTCATAAAAATTATTCTCATATTCTTACAACAAAGTGGCAACACCTTAAAATAGGCTTACAACTTTTTAACAAAAAGGAAAAACTAAGCAGTCCTAATATCTTATGACTAAAGAAGAAGCAATTACTTTTTTAAACATAAAATTTTGAACACAGATATTGTTTACATTTTTAAAAGCTCTGCTTTTTTTCATTTTTTCGACGTAAAAATTGGATTTTTAGCTTTTATCGATATTTTGCTAATTTTTCTTAAAAATTTTATTTTTTGCTGGAACTATCGAAGCATCAAAAAGTCTGCACATCAACATTTTTATTACATTACATAATTTCCATAGGGCTTATGTACATTAGGGTGGCCTTGAAAATAATAGGAATGAATTATTCGGGCTCTCGTACTTAATCAGTACTAACACTAATTTGGTTGAAGAATTTATATGTTATGTTTTAAATTAAATCGATTCAGATGTAGCAAAGGAATGTAAAAATTCGGATTACCCTAATTATATATAATTGAGCCTTAAATTATACCTTCGAATATATGTAATAGAATTGACTTGTAGTGTATATGAAAGTGTAAAAAGAATTTGTTGCAAAACTGTACTTCTTATATTTAAGAGTCACCCTAACATTTTTATGTATTCCTTGAAGTAATTTTTTCACGTATTTGAAAGTATTCGAAAAAAAATTTTTTTTTTTAATTACAAAGTAGTTATTTGAAACTAAAATATGTCAAATAGTCGCGAAAATGCGTTAAAAAGTTGTAGAAATAAAATATATGTTTTTTTTTTGCAAAGTACGCTCACCGACCGATATATTTGGGAGTTAGTTAGTTCCACGCTGAATTTCGTGAAAAGTAATTAATTTCAAGAAATTGTGAAAAATCTTATTGAAAACTAAAATATGTAATCAATTAGTCGATATGAATACAAGCGAAACAATTTATAAAAATAAAAATAAAAAAATTAATATTCTCAGTGTACCCTCAGCGACCCACACATTTGAGCTCAACAAGCGCGCTCTTTATTGTTGAGGCAACTTCTATGTTGAATGAGTTATTCTTTGAGGTATGCGCTAACGGTACTCTACAAAAGAGTGCAAATAAGCGATTATTATCATTACAGCGATAGTGTTGAGCGCAGAAAATCAAATTAGACATTAGGGTGTTACATGTATACTATAGTGTATGATTATATCCATGTACATATGTATGTACAATGCTTGTATATACATATATACTTATGTATGTATTGTACGTTAAGTATGCATTATGCGTTAACTAAATTGTGATATTTACAGTGATTTGATTTGTAATGAATGTTTTTTTTATTATTTTAAGCAAATCGATAGCTAAAATAAAGTTAAAAGAACGTGAAAATATGGTTTGCTTTGTTAATGAGAAACACAAACAAAAACAAAGAATGTATTGATAAACAGTTTATGAAATACGTGTCTGTTATTTGAAAAGTAAATGGAAAAATGTCAAACACAAGCAACTTGTGTGCAGAAAAACCCTTAGTACAACCCAAGCTTGCAATAATTTTCTACAAAAATGCTTTGCCAAACTTTGCAAATGTTTTATAAGTGAAAAAATAAATAAAAAAAATTATGTGTGTTAAAAGCAGTTTAATGTTACACAATTGTATAGAAAGCACTCATTTTTTATATGAAACAAAAAAATTAATAATAAATTAGCATTTAATGAACAAACGATTCAAGTATTTATATTAAATATTACTAAATGAAAGCTTTTTTGATTTGTTGATTGTATATAACAAAGAAATATATATATATATAGTATATAACTACTTTCGACTTCATTTTTAACCTTTATTTATAAGAGCAACTGTATATACATTAGGGTGTCCGTTATTTTCTCAGTTGATTTTTTTTTGCAAATGTCCCCGAAGTTTTAGTTTTCGTCTTAAAAAATTATACAACAGAAACAAGTTTTATATTTTCAATTTAAACCGTTTCTAAATCAATTTACCTTCCCATATATTAATTATTTTTGTTTATGTATTTATCTCTAAATAAAATACACCTACAACAAGAGAATATTAGAATACAAAATTTTCCGCTCTGCAAAAAAGTTTTTAATGACTTTTTCATAAAAACATTCGTGTAGAAGTTATACCTTCTTAAAGTTATGCATCAAATGTACTGAGCATTCATACAAGCGAATGAAATTCTGTGTTGCTCATACGCCATGGTACCCTATGCATGATCAGTACACTTGATGTATAATTTTAACTGCTTAGAACTTTTAGAGTAGCGAAAAAATTCATCACGAACTTTATTTAATGCGCTAAATTTTGTATTAGAATATTCTCTCTTCAAGGTTGTAGGTTTACTTACAAAATATTAAAAAATCCTATATAAAATACATAGAAAAGGTAAAAGGAGTTTGGCATGGTTTAAATTGAAAATAAAGAAGTTATTTACATTTATGATTTTTTAAGACAAAAACTGAAACTTCAGGGAAACTTCAGACACCGTAATATACGTACATACATATACTATATATGTAAATAACGACATAATAATATTGAAATTTAAAAATATTATTAAATTGCCCTACATCTAACTAACTATAAACTTTAAAGTATTACAAAACTACACATACTCTGAAATATAATTTTATTTTATTATAACTGTTAATATTTCGAAAGCGCATATACGTTGTTCTATATGTATATCAATATAATAGCACTACTAAAATATAAGCGCAAATATATAGCACTGCAGCTAAAACAATATATATATATGTATATAATTTATTAAGCTAAAAATAAAAGGTAAAAACAAAATCGATAAAAAAAAATAAAAATTAAAGACATTTAACGAAAATATTTCACTTAAAACTTATTAATACTATAATATAGTATATACTATAAAAATAATTATATACTAAGCTTATATACATAGTTACATAGCCTAGCAATTAGCTTATTTAAATGAAATTATAGCTAGCCACGCTCATATACAAGTAAATATGTAAACACAATCAGTTATATATGAAGATATATTTAATAAAATACTATTATTAGCATAAAATAATAAATAAATATTTCGAAATGCATATGAAGTGTATGATATAATACATAAACAGACGTATATAAGACGTATACGGCGTAAACACATATTTATATATATTTAGTATATGTATGTAGTTAATTAATTTACATATAATCAATTCGTATAGCAAAGAACAAAATTTATTATAGACAGATGAGAAAACTGAAAATTATGCATCTGCATGTGTATATGTAGGTATGTATGCGTGTAAATGCATATGTCGGAGTGTATGTATGTACATGCGTGTTTAAAAGTTGTTGAAAGTATGCTAAAGTTAGATATTGTATGCTTGTTTGTGGTTTGAGTCGCTGTTTGAATTGTTTGTACTCGCCTCATGGCAAAAAAAAATGCGAAGCAACAACAACAATGTGTGTGTCAACAAATACTGCATTGTATTTGCTTAATGAATTTCTGTAATTAGAAAATTATATATATATATATAAGTTTGTTTAGTTTTTAATGATCATTATTGTATGTACACAAGTTCAGCTACTATTAGACACTAATACCGATGATTGATTGATTGATTGATTGTATTGTTCTCGATTTAGCCGATCTTAATTACGGAAATACTTATTTAGAATTGTAAATGTATTTAACTAAATAAATTATATATAAATATATATAGTATATACATGTATAAATTTACATATATAACAAAATTGAAATTTAAAATAAAGAATACACAAAAAATGTGGATAAAAAAATTGGTATTTTCATTTTTGTAAACGACGCATGTGAACAAAGGTAAGGATTTTTGCAGATTTATAAATGAATATACCTAAAAAGAAAAATATATTTTCAACGGTCAGTTTGTATGCCCGCTATATGCTGTAGTGGTCAGATATTATAGCAATGCCTTGGCTAATATATATTTTTTCAAATTTTGTGAATAAACCTTATCAAATAAAAAAAGTTTTCTTTGCAAGGACTTGATTTTATTCGATCAGTTTTTACGGCAGCTATATGATATAGTCGTCCGATATCAGCGGTTCCGACGAAGGAGCCGCTTTTTTGAGAGAAAAGTGCGTATGCAAAATTTCAGGTCTATATCTCAAAAAAATGAGGGAGTTTACATACACACAGACGGACATATGTATATCGACTCAGCGCGTCACACTGATCACTTATACATGTATACATTTCATTGGGTCTGCAAAGATTCCATCTAGATGTTACAAACTTCGTGGCAAACTTAACGCACACTGTACAAAGTATAAAAATTTTCAATACCAACCGTAACTAATGTAAAACAACAGTCGGGTATCCACGGCGTATGAGTACTCTACAAATTTTTAGGCCGGTATGGCAGTGCGGTGTTAAAATGTTTTTGTTTTATATCTATTAAAGGTGATTCTAATATTTAAACGCGAACGCAGACAAAAATGGTTATATAAATAAACAGAAAATTTATAAAGCTCTTGGAAATATGAAAACAATGCAAATCGGTGGTCAAATGACAATACACCAGTACGATGAAATATATGAATAATGCGTAAATGGAAATGTAGCATATAGTTACATTTATTCTATAGCAAACATATATCAAAAAATATAATACATGTACGATTTTTTAATATTTTATAAATAAAGGCAATTCAATTTTTTAACCTTTACGGAAAAAAATAAAATTTAATTGCACTGCTTTCCCGACAATTTCAGAGTTGCATCAGAGAACGTATATCTCGTACTCTGGCAGAGAACGTATGATATACGTTCTCTGACTCTGGTCAGAGAATATACGTTCTCTGTACGTGAGAGAACGCTCTCTGACTCTATACTTTCTCTGGCTAAACAGCTGATTTTGTTTGTCTCTCTCTTTCATCAGAGAACGTATCTTATACGTTGCTCTGCTTTCACCTCATTTATCTTTAATTTTGTTTTTGATAAGTCAATTTGGAAACACACCGGTCAAATATAACATAACAAAAGAAATTTTTCTTTTTAAAATTAACTTTTTGCATAGCCGCGTTCGAAACTTATTCCATTTAGTGTTCAACATGGAGGACCAGGCATGCCCGCGCTGCAAAACAACAAAGTACCGCAATCCCTCACTGAAATTGATGGTTAACGTTTGTGGCCACACACTTTGTGAATCCTGTGTAGATTTGCTGTTTCTCAAGGGTTCGGGCTCCTGTCCGGAATGTATGGTGCCATTGCGACGCAACAACTACCGTGTGCAACTCTTCGAAGATCCTATGGTGGAAAAGGAGGTAGATATACGAAAACGTGTACTACGCGATTACAACAAAAAGGAGGACGATTTCGCTACGCTGCAAGAATACAATGATTACTTGGAAGAAATCGAAACTATTATCTACAATCTGTGCAACAACATTGATATAATCGGCACGAATAAACGCATCGAAGCATATAGGCGTGAGAATCGTGATGTCATACAAAGGAATAAAACGCGTATGGGACGAGAAGAGTACGAATTGGAGGAAATGCTTGAGTTGGAGCGTGCACAAGAAGAAGCGCGTAAACAGGAGTTGGCAGAACTTGAAACTGAACAAAAGAAAAAGAAAGCGCGCGAGAAGGAAGCGCTGATCGATGAACTAATGTGCAGTGGTAAAGATGCCGCCGAGATTGTTAATGAATTCGCCGAAAAGGTAGAAAAATTGCGCGAAGAAGAGAAGAAATTGCCGCCACCCAAACCAGCTACACAATTCTCGACAGGAATAAAATTTGGACGCACAGCGGACCAAATGTTCTTACCGTTACCAAAGGCAGAAGAGGGACCACTGTATGTGCATAAAGTGCCCACGCTTTATACGGAAGGCCCAGCTGCGCCGGCTAACGCCGATATCGATAGCAAAGGTTTCATTGCGCACATAAGGCCGGAAAATAGCGCTGAACGTGCCGGTGGCTATAAAGCGAACTTAGCTTGTCAACGTGCATTGCAAGAGGCATTGATGGGTCTATATTATGGTGCGCCGATGATTAATTGACAAGAAGTTGCAAATAACATTATAAACGAAAAGCATTTTCAAAGCAGCGATTAGATGATGTTTTTTTTTTTTTTTGTAAACCAAATAAAAGAATTTCACAGTTTAATTTAACAAATTATAGCATATACTGTTCACTATAGTTATATAGATATATTTAATTAAGTAATTTATAATAGGTTTACAAAACCTGCTACACAGAAATGTTTCCTTAAATAACAGCCGTAAAATAATATGCAAAGTTGAAATCTATTTATTTAAAGCATTTTACTATTTATTTACTTTTTTCTATTGGCTATAAGTAAGTCCTTAGGCGGATTAACAATTTGGTACACTCTTGATTGCCGTTTTTCTGATATAATCCAAACTATTTGGGAAAAGCTACATTGATGATAATACTCTACAACATAGTACGTAGAATGACAAAAAATACGTAATTTTGTGGAATGCTAGCAAATAAATACGGATCTATAACGGTTATGTAGACCAGACAGCATTGCAGAATGAAGAAATTGTTATTGTTGCCGTATATAATACGTTCTCCAAAAGGTTTCCACCAGCAAAGAGCACGGTTTCCGATTTTGGATCGTGTCTTCAATTGTAATCAACTGATGGATTCCATTGTTTAAAGCCTCACATTGTTAATCATTCCCGCCACCACAAAAAAATATATACATACATACTTCCATATACATGAAATATGGTAAAATCTTTGCGGAAGTACAACAAAAATATATAAGAAACTATTCCTGGTTCCCAGCAAATTTGTGGAAGCTATTATAGAACTACTATTTCATTGTTATTACTGAGCAGGGTATATTAAGTTTGCCACGCAGTTTGTAACAACCAGAAGGAAACGACGGATATCCTAAATGTATATAAATGATTAACGTGATAAGCTGATTTCGAGATATCAATTTGAAGTTTTGGAAACGTCCTTTTCTCAACAAGAAGTTGTTCGTTTGTCGCAACGGCCATTATCGGCTCACTATAGCATATAGCTGTCATACAAACTGTTCGAATAAAATCAAGTATATGTGTGGAAAACTTTTTTAATTGACAATATATCTTTACGAAAGTTGGCATAAATTATTGTCTAAAACAGTGCTGCAATTTTTGAGTATATTATTCAAATCGGACGACTACAGCATATAGCTGCTATATAAAATTAACGTTCAAAATCAAGCCCTTGTATGAAAAGTTTTTTTATTTGGAAAATTGAAGTTACCATTTTATTTCTTTTTTACCTTTATATAAATAAAACATTCCGACTTCATTTAATATGTATGTTTTCATTATAATCATAAGTGTTTTTTTTTTTATTGAATACTTGAGAATGACACGCATTTATTGTTATAATTAAGATTGTTTTAACTGCGTATAGCATTTCATATACTTATTTTACTTCATACTTGACTTACACATAAATCGACACTTATGTAACTATACGTATGTATGTATTATATGTATATAATAAACGGATCAATAAAAGTACACTTTAAAGACAAACACAATATTACAAAGTTATTATTAAGTAGGGGGGTGAGGTGTAAATGTAAAATTATCATAATGCTTTAACAGTATACCTACATACCGCATTTTAAAATACAAGTAAATATGTATTTATGTGTATATACATATATATATATATATATATATATATGAATATGAATTTTTTTTATATAAATATTAATTAAGGTATATATGTACGTGTAAAGAATTGGCAATTACTGAATTTACAAGGAAAACGTAATTAATTAATTAATAATATATCATATGCAGATCATATGAGAAAGGAAATCACACGTTTACAATACAGTTGACAACTCAAAGCTAAAAATATAAACGATACAAACGAATTGCACCAAATCGTTAGGCCTACAAGCTAACAAAGCGAAAAACAAACAAGCATACAACGAGTTTACAAGAAAATTGTATCAGGCAAATTAAGTATATACAGTTATAAAGCGCAAAGAAAGCTATGCGGTGTGCAAGTGAAAAATTAGATATATTTTTATCGCTTGCTATAAGTTGACGCATTTAAATTTTTACATTTCATCATTTGCGTTACTCTTTTTTGCTGTAAATGAAGCAGAAGTTATTTTTGAATATATGCAGCGGCGTTATATAAATTTTTTTTGTTGAAAACTATTTGTTTTGTGAAGAAATTTATCTTATAACTGTGCTGCTTCTGTTGCACTTTCAGCAAGCACAGTGTGGAATGTTGTTGTTGCATTGCAGAAGAGTTTGCATCTTCTCTAACATTATTTTTGATAATTATTGTTATATTTTTTCGAACTTTTTGCTTGATTAATTGTATTTGCATATATTTTCTTGCTTTTTGAGTTTCTAATAATACTTTTCTTGTTATTTTTAAAGAGCAGCTAAAACAAAGCACATAAAAAAATAAACAAAAAAATAACATAAAAATAAGCAGCAACAAATAACTGTTAATTACGTTTGTTCTTTGTTTTTATAAAATTACGGTTCGTTGTAATTTTACTGCTGTTTTCAGAGCTATACCAACTTTAGAAAAAATGTCTTTTCAAACACGCTAGCCTAAATATCATACACGCATAACGTATATGTTATAATTTATGATTTTTATTTTTTGTTATTTTCGAAAATTTAGACACTTTTCCAGTTTACGTTGTTTGCTTGTTTTGAATCATTTTATTTTTATGTGTGCAATGTTGTATAGATGTATGTATGTGTATAATGCATGTTTGCGTCTCAAAAATGTTATTTTTCTTCTTCCTTTGCCTTTATTAAATTAATAATTATTATAAGTTCGCTTTTCTTTTTGTTGTTGACGCGCTAAGTTAAAGTAAAAAGTATGTTATAATTAAAATATATGTATGTGTGTATGTATATGTAAATTTAAAATACGATATTTCTTTTTTCACGCATACGCCTGCGCAAAGTCACATCACAGGCTGCCCTCTGCTCAAACGTTCTCCTCCCACTCCAAACAGCTGTTATATTATATAATTTTTAGCTGTTTTATGTTTTAGTTTTTGTTTGTTTGTTTGCAATTTACAGTTGATTAGTTATGTGTGTGTGTTTGTGGATGCGCGTTTACGTTTGAGTTTTATACGTCGGCGTATTTTTTTCACAGACAATTTACTCTCAGTGTATATTTGCGTAATTTGTTGTTGTAGTTCCATACTAAGTACCAGCAATGAGTTTGTCAGTGCAGCGAACAGCTTATTTGTGTACCGGTAGGTAGCGGTATTCAACTTCCACTAGACAGAATCGTCTGTAAAAATAAAAGAGTTGCGGATTACTACATTTTGTTTGTGAAAATAAAAGATGTAAATAATTTAAACAACATTAAGCTATCAGAACTGTAAAGGTTTTTGTTGTAACGCTTATCTAAACCCTGTTTGTTTGAAAGAGATTCTAGGAATTGTTATCGACGTCAATTAACGGTAAGACCAGAAAGTGTTAGAAGAGATGGCTTGAGTGGGAAAGGAAAAAAGGAGTTTAGAGTGAATTTTGTTGTTGTAGCTGCATACAACATTGCCTGGACTGGTCTGATCTAAACAATTTATTTGTAACTTGTACCGTTGCTTTGGTCAATAATCCAGGCCAAAATTCGTGAAGATAATTTGGCAAATAAAAAAATTTTTTCATACCATGATTTGTTTGCGATCGTTCAGTTTGTATGGAAGCTATAAGTTATAGTAGTCCGATATCGGCAGTTCCGACAAATGAGCAGCTTATTGGGGAGAAAATGGCATATGAAAAATTGCAGATCGGTATTTTAAAAACTGATGACTGAAACGGTCATGGCTAACTCTACTCAGCTCGTTACGCTGATCGTTTATATGTATATATATACTTTATAGTTTCTCTGACGTTTCGGGTATAATGAAAGTTCGAAAGATGCATTAACGGTTTAAATTATAAAAACAAAGAAACCGTAAGGTTTGGATTTTATTTTCATAGTCTTTGTTGTGGGTTTTACTGATTGTCGCGACTCATGTAGTTAAGAGACGGGGGCGTTCCACAAACCATATTTGGGAAGTATATAATGAAGTAGTGGTATTAGTTAAATTATTTCTATGAATGGATCTCTTCTATAATGGATCTTGATTTGATTATCGTTGCGACGTTTTTTTTCATTCAAGAGTTTTGGGAACTCACCATGATACCACCATTTGGTCTTTTTCGGATTCTTATTGCAGGTTTTTACGTATAACGTGTTATCTGGTGGACGCTTCTTTTCACGGCAACTACTAAGCATCGATGCTATGCTCAGACAGACAGATTGTACAGATAGCGCTGGCGACCAATCTTCTGTCAATATGGAAAGGCAGATATGTCCATTAGAGTAGACGTGCGGATGCACAGGTATATTGTTGCCAATAAACGTCACCTGCGATAGATAAATAAAAAGCACAATCTTGTTGTAGTAAAGCAGCGTCATAAAGATATATATCTGTACAAAATTAAGTGTGTGTGTGTGTGGTTACCTCTGGTGAATCGAAGGGATATTTATTGTTGAATTTGAAGAGTAGCTGAAAGTTTTCACCCTCATACAAAGTGCCCTCGAAACCGGCAATATTTATTTTCCATCTTAAAAAAAAAAAATAAATCAATTAAGATTAGATATATAAATGTATAATTAATAAAATTGTAACCATGTTTGTATGTGTGTATGTGGCAACTTACTCTGATAAGTTTTGTCCTATACTATCGGTATCGACGGTAACACCTGGTGGCGGTTCCTTTATCAGCGACATCAACTCTTTGTGTAATCTTCTCTGTAAATAGTTAAAGAGATCGGCAAATTGTTAGAACAGCAACAATGAAGTCACAGTTTACAACTAAAATGTAGCAATATTTATATGACAAACGCTCTTATTATAAAATGTTAACAGCTGATAATAAAAGTAAAATGGCGCATAAATTGGTAAGCGTTTAAGGTTCCACTGAAAGCTTTTTATACCCTGAACAGGACTACTATAGCATACAGCTCGCATACAAACCGATCGACAAAAATCAAGATGAACATCTTTTTTATGCTAAAAGAAATGCAGCTGTGTAGGGTATTATAGCTTCGGTGCAAACAAAGTAAACCTTTTTTACTTGTTTCTGTTGAAAACTATTTTAAATGCTTAAAGCTCGAGAATTAGCGCTAAAAGAAAGAAATTTGTTATACCGTTCTTATCATTGGTTTTGGTTTTCCATAAATTTCATACTTTTGAGGCTTTCCAAATGCGATGATGAAATTTTTAAAACATATCAAACGAATTAATTGCATTATCTTGAGACACTTTGCCAGTATCCATCCAGCTTGTGAAATGGATGCAATTATTGACATAAAGTGAAAAGTAGAAATTGCTGAGACATGTATACAAATAAATTTAGTTTTATATACATATATGTATACATAGGAGTAAGTATGTTTATGTATCTAAGTACGTAAATATAACAGCCTTTTGACGCAAATACGTCAATAAGCTTTTATAGCGTCTAATTACCGATAAGATAACTTAATTTTTCAGCAATGCTTGAGTAATTATACACAAACATAATTATATTGGCATGTGATATTTGCATATAGCACAAATATTAATATATATATGTATATAGACATATATATAAATAAAGAAAACAACATCTTATTTTTTCGACAATTGAATTTGGTAAATATTTGTTTATTGTGTGTACTTTAGATAAATGCATGTATGTATTCTTTATAACCGTAGTAATGATGAGTATTATTTATATTGGATATTAGCAAAAAACAAAACCCAATTAATGAGATGTTTCTTAGTCAACAGTGTTATCGTTGAAGTAATGATAAGATAGCGGAAATAAATTTATTAATATCGATTAACGGTAAAAAATATGCACTTGAAGATGGTGTGGTGAGTAGTAGTGAGTACTGCATACTCGAAGCCTATGAAATGACAATGAAATATTGCAAAGTGACTTAAGCAGAGGTTTTTCAGTTAGTATGAATAAATAGACGTACATATGGTATATTATAGGGTTTAGGGTGCTACGCAAATGAACAAAACTTTAATATTAACTTCAAAAAGCTTTAATATTATCTGTAATAAAATGTAAATGAAAAGTTTTTTTTTCTCGCTAAAGAACGTTATTTATATATTTTTAACTAATTTTTGTTGTTTTTTTCGGCTGGTACCCAAACTTGACTGGTAGTTTATGTAACTGTTAAACTTTTCTGCTTCAACATCGCCTTCAGTTTCACACATTTGTAAATAATAATAATTATAATTTTATTTATTTATTTTACCGAAAATAGCACACTATCTTGTATTTTTTATGTTTTTCTACTCTGCCACGTAACATATGTTTGAATATTAAACAAATATTTTATAAAAGGTTGTATATACATATTGTAATTAAAAAGCAACACTAAGTTATTCGAGAAAATTTAGTTTGAAAGAGCTCCTAAGCTGAGTCGATTTAGCCATGCCCGTTTGTCCATCTGTCTGTATAGACATGAACAAATCCCTCAGTTTTTGAGGTATCGATCAGTAATTTCGCACATCTCCTTTTCTCTACAAAAAACTGTTCATTTGTCGGAATCACCGATATCGGACCACTATAGCATATAGCTGCCATACAAACTGAACGATCAGAATCAAATCCTTGTATGAAAGGCCGTTTTATTTGATAAGATATCTTCACGAATTTTGGCACGAACATTTTTTCTTGTTTAAATGAGATTTCCAAATGTTCTAGCTTAAACTCTTGCTTTCTAACCTCTTTGGTCTAAATCAAGCTAGGCTGGAGAAAATAATTAATAATATATATTATAAAATAGTTAATTTTTTTAAGGACGCAAAGGATCAAATATGTCACTTGTCAAAAAAAAAAGTCAACTGACGGGAAAGTATTAATTTTTTGCAATTAAAACCATAAAAGTGGAATTAAAAATTGTAAATCTATTTATTATTTCAAAATTTATTAATTAAAATTTTCATCGATTTGCAAACAAAAATTATTATTGGTGCGCATTATATTTATATTTATTAAATTAAATTAAAGCAGTCTATCAGCAAAATGTCGGCTTAATTAGTTTACGTTTTCAGCGGCACTCTTATTTGTCAACATTTTTTTGCTGCATTTATATAATTATAATAAATTAAATTTTATATTAAATTATTTTGAACCACTTTTATTAAATTGTTTATAATTATTAATTTTTCTAGTTTTTGCTACTATAAAACCTTAGACTTCTGTCAATACTTGCCTCCCATCGTGTGTTGTCCAACACCAGCGGTTTGCCGCATTTCGTGCGCGGCTCTTTGGTCACCTGCGGTTCACAAGTGATGATTTCCGATTTTGGCAACTTGTCTTTCTTGCTCTTGAATATTTTCAACATTTTGTCGTCGTGCAATTTAATAACACTTGCCTGTGTTGCTGTTGTTATTTTTATATATTATTTTCGTAACAACAAATTACAGTACGAAATATATTTATATTCCCTTTTTATTTTTATTTTGTTTTTTTCCTACCAAAATCTGGTAGCACAGACCGCGTACACGGCGTCAGTAATAAAGTCTTATTCTTTTTATGTAATTTTGCGGCGCTGATGTAATATTTCTAGATTGCGAAAACAAAATGTGTTTATTTAATTTGAGTTTGTAATTCAATTAACGGTTAATTAAGTCGCAAACACTGAGGCACTCGGTGCTTGAATTCGAATTTCTGCTGCTGCTGTGTCAGCGCACTGACTTTGACCAACTCGCTGTGACTGAATAATGCAGGCGAACCAGTTTCTATTAGATAATATGCATTTTGTTGTAATTTTAAGCTCTTTTGTTTTTGTAAAACACTTTAGTCAATGTATTGGCTATTTAGCGGCATTTGCACGACAAATTGGTTTATAGGCTGCCACAAACACAACTACACACACACACTCATGGGCACACAGAAATGCCACAATTATTGCACAAATCTTGTAGGCGAATTGCAATTAATTTTGCCACCCCTGCATACGTTGCACGTCCCGATAATGGCGCAACGGCGTCACACAACGCTGCTTTCGGTTTGGTTGGCGTTACGGCAACAACGCGGCATACTTATTTAGCATATTTATAAATATGTTTTGTAGTTATTGTTTTTTTTTTTCTTTTATTGTTTTTTAATTACTTTGTAAGTGACTTGCAACTCGAAAACTTTCTCAACTAACCACAAATAATAATTACTTCTTTCGAAAACTCATTCGATTAAATTAAAAAAATATTATTATTTATTTTATCTCAACTTTATGTTTTATAAATTTTTTTTGTTGCTTTGCAAAATACTCCGCACGAACGCTGCGAGCACTTCCACGTACCAAATACGAATATTTGCTTGTGACTCAAGGAAATCGCTAATAGCAGCACCAGAGGTACGAAAACAAGCGAGCGAGCAAGCAAAAAGAAAAACAAATCGAAAAATAAATGTGTAAAAAAGTGAAATAAAACGTAATGAAAAAGTAATGCTATCAGCCACAGCCATAGCAATTTAAACACACGCTGGTTTAGTGTGGCTCAATATTTTGCTTCGATTGCAATTCACCTTCCTGTGTGTGTGACTATGATTTTTTATTGTGTGCTCGCTTTCGTGTGTTTTTAATTTTTTTTTTTTTAGGTACGTTATCAATACCCCCTTCTTATGCTTTACTTATTGTCATCGCTTTCCTGTTTGATCGCACAAAAAATTACTTATACCTATGTACATATATATACAATGCAGTTTCACTGCAAATGAGATTGAAAACGCTGATAGCGCTTGATATTAAAAGATCCAAACAGGCTTTTGCAGCCTTCCTGACTGTCTGCATAACTACTGTGGTGTGGTGTGAGCAACTATTTTATCTACGTTCCAGTCGTAATTTGCGATTGCTTGATCCGCCTTTTTGGCGTTGCCAATTTGTGATCTATGATTTTGTGTGTGAAAAGTTATCAAATTAATTTTGCCCTCAATTCATTACACTATATGGCAAAACCGACTTTTAAAAGTAAAACTTTTTATCTATCATCTCAAATTTTATCGTCCAGCTGCGGCATGTGGCATGTTGCATTACAACACTCATATGCGGACAAACTTTATACAAATGTACACTTCTAGGTAAAATCCAACGAAAATTCCAAGCATCATGAGAACAACAACGACATCCAACCAATCTCTTCACTTCAGCATCTTCTTCTATAGATAATGAAACAACAATTAAGCAGGCAAAATTTGCATACCTTATATAGCGCGGCTGATAAATACTAATTCAAGGTTCGAACGATGTTCGTTTTCGAATCCTGGTCAAATATTTGTTTTTGTTTTCGAATATTTTATTTATTTTTTAGCATATTTTAACAAAAATATGAATATTGAGGCTTTTGAGCTGTCAATTGAGCTGCCTACAATCAGTAGGTTGATCATTTATTGTGGTTTCAAAAAACAACACACTCTTGTTTTCAGCGTATTGGACCAAAGCAATATTTTTTCGAGTGATTGAGTTTTAAGACTGCGTTCACACGCCTCTTTTTGTCGCTCATTATCGGTAAATTCTTTTTTGGCGTCGCTTGCTCATTGCTCATTCACACGAACGACGCGAGGACGAAAGTAATTTTTCCGTTTTTCGAAATTAGCCTCCAAAGTTCGAAATTGACAACATTATTATTAATTATAGCGCTATGCAAGTTACTAAGAAAGTAAAAATATGGGTCTCATCCACGTTTTCCTTTTTTTTCAATGGTGTAAAACAGTTTTCGGTAAAGTTCATATGACAGATGCTATAAAAGTTTAAAATTAGATTTTCGAAAAGAAAAAAGAAAATAGATTGCAAAAATACTGGCTCGTCTTTAAAATATGTCGAAAAAAATTGGTTTGATTCAATGCCCAGCCGAGTGTTACAGTGTTATTATTGCAAAGAGTGTTAAAAATTATAATAAAGATGAACAATTTCTATATCTCGATGGACAGTTGTATCGTTTTCAAGAACTAAATTTTTTGGTTTAACTTTAACCATTAAAAGATACGTGAATAAATTTCAGAGCTTTCGGACAGTAGATTATGTGCGAGCTCACAATCAAGCGATTCAAAAATTACTAAAAACTAAATAGCAAAATTACATGAATTTTACTTGGAATTGCATACGCAGCTCCAGCGAAATTTCCTGTTCTCAGCCCTTAAGACAATGGTATAATATGTGGAAAGAAATCGCCGAGACTGAGTACTATTCAGAGATAAATCCCAATCGCTTTACAAACAAGTTCTAAGAACGCTTTAGAATATCACTTTCGATTGCCACTATTATACTCGTATTGCACACTAAAATTGATCAAATATGTATATTTGAATTATTTTTCAGAGAAAATACTTGTTGTTGTATTTTAGTTTTTATGTGGTAAACAATTCAAAATACAATAAGAGTTAATAAATCAATTGGAATAATATTGATAGTCAATTTTTGCGATAACATTTATATCTTAAGCAAACAAGCAGAAATAAGTTTTTTACTTAAAAACATTCTACACTTAAAAATATGCGCATTTGTACATTTCACATAGCCGAATGCCCCTGAACCTGGTTATTTACATACAATCTTAAATATACATATATATATGATTGTACGTGCAAAATTTTGTTTTTGCATTCAGCTCAATTCATTGTCGAACAATTAACACTACTTGACAACTCCGGCTTCGGCAATCGAAATAAATAATTTTTTTTAATATGCATGAAATCGGTGCCGCAGATCACTTGGTCAAGGCTGAGTTAGGCGGTTAACCTTAAATGAATCATTTAAATACTTGTATGTATTTATATCAGCAATTATTATGTAAAAGCCCATTGAATTTAATAACTGTTATAGTGTATAGTGATGTACAAGTGGAAAAGCTACTGGACTGCATTCGAGTAGCGACGAAAAGCTCAAAATGTGCGGCCTAAACCAACCTAAGCATATCGTTAATTTCTTTGGGAAATACCAATTAAGCTTTGTTGAACTTGTGTTGAGGACCCTAGTCTGTTTTTGATAGGAAATTTGAAGGCGACAAGCCATGCGTGAGTGGAGCTAGATGTCTAGTTCTTCACTCAATCCTAAAAATTTTAATTTGTGGTTGGCCTGGGAAATTTGAAACGAGTAATCATATGAAACACCTTGTATTTGGGAAACGCAAATGGAATTAATTTACAATTCGAGCCGTTAACCCTGACAGCTAGTTTTTGTATTAGCTATAAAATAATAATTCTATTAAAATGTGAGAATATTTTTAGAAAAGCTGTTAGGATTATAATTTCGATACAAAATAGTTAAACTTAAATTTTCATATAAACTTTTTTTCAAAAACAAATTTCTCGAGCCCTCACAAAAAGTTGCGAATAAACAGAAAAATAAATACGTAAAGTAATAAAAAATCAGAAGCCACATTAGCCACATCTTTGTTAAAAAGAACATGTTCATTTCTCTGTAATTAAAAAAATGTTCATTGAAAGTTATTGCCTTCCAGAAAACCACGAACTGAAAAATGTGACCACTTTGTTCCCAAACAATGAGTTGGAATGCGCTCACCCGCTTTAGTTTGCGACAATCTTATCGACCTTATGGCAAGTTATTGCCCACGATTTTATCGAACACACACGCTTACAGCGTTCTTATCAAAATAAAATGCGCAAATCGGCTGATAAGATACGGTCGGTGTACTCAGCAAGGCAATAATATAAGCCAACATATTTACAAGCTAAGATATCGATAAGAAAATATATAATAATAATACTTTTGGTAAGAAATTGTTTGTGAAAATACAAAGAAACTTATTTATGGAAAAATATTTCCTTTAAATGTTCGATATTAAAAAAAAAAATAGAAAAATATTCAATTAACACAGCTTGCTGTTGTTTACCAGCAATTTATCTTCCAAGCTCGCTTATGAGAAATTAAAAAGGCAGTGTGAGACACAATGTCTACCCCCGTTAAATGGGTGGGTGTAACGGCAGATTGCGCTAAATGAAGGTGGCAATAAATTAATGTGAATGCTGAGAGTCAAAGCTCAATTGTAATAAGATCCTCAAGGCAGTTTAACGAGAAGAAGCGAGACAAAATTTATTGCAAATTATTGCGATATTTGTACAGCAAATACAAAGCTTATCGCAGGAAAGTAAAAAATTAATAAGCAATTAGTTGATTGATGTCGCGAGAGCAAAGGTATCAAAGTCTAAAATAAAATCGTGTGTACATATATACATAGATATGTCTATAAATATTAGATAAACACAAATTGAATGAATGTGACAGAAATAAACAGCATATAAAAATAATATTATATATATGTACATGTATATATTACGGTTGTGGACATATGCATATGCTTTTGGATAAAATATATTAGGTATGTTTTGACCTGATGATTATATTTATGAGAAATAGGAAACTAGACCCGAACTAGTCCGAAAAAACAAAAATTTTATTGCAGACTCTATAAAGTATAGGTATATACAAGTGATAAGTGTGACGAGCTGAGTCGATTTAGCCATGTTCGTTTGTCTGTCTCTTTGTATACATACGAACTATTCGTTGAATTTTTGAGATATCGATCGGATATTTTACACACATCTTTTTC